GCTTTGGAGGGTGGAGGGACAGCGCAGGAGGGGAAGGCCCTCTATGAGGTGGATTGATTCAGTGACTGGGATAATCGGGATGGGAGTGTCAGAGACAGTGTGATTAGCACAGGACAGAGCAGAGTTTCGGGCTGTTGTACATAGGGTCGCTAAGAGTTGCAAGTGACTCAATGGCACATAACAACAACAACAACAACAATGTTGACATATAATCTATACCAAAGATTACAGTTTTTTTGTCTTCTTCAGTAAGTGATTCATGTTCCTTTACTTTCTGCAAGCAAGATTGTATCATCTGCATATCTTAGGTTGATGATGAGTCTTCTTCCAATCCTAATGCCACATTCTTCTTACTATAACCAAACTTCTCAGAGTATTGGTTTAAGGTTTTTTCACTTTCTGTAAACAAAGTTGTGTTATCTGCATAATTCAAATTGTTGATAAGTTTTTCTGCAATCCTGATACAACATTCTTCTTCATATAGTCCAGCATCTTGAATGATTTGTTTAGCATAGAGTTTCAAAGGTATGGGGAAAAGATAAAAACCTGATGCATACCTTTCCTTTTCTATTTCTTTAGGCCCTGTCAGGGCAACTGTAAAATTTCAGTAGATTTTTCTGATCATAAATATCTACTTGTTACTTTCTTCTAAGCTGGCCCAATAATTCTGACTGCAGTTGTAGAACTTTTCTATAGTTTCAGACTTGATTTGGTTTAGATTCAACTTTTGAAAAACTAAGGATTAGAGAAAAAAACAAAGGATATTAGCCTAGGGATTAAGTTTATAAAACACAGTGTATGGGAATGATTGTATGAAACACAATGTGACTCAAGGAATGTGTGAAATACTATATATACAAATTTTGTATGCAAATCAATATAAAATAAAAATTTAAAATATTAGCCTGATATTTATGGCTATCTTATAAACATGGTAAGAAAGATAAAATATTCTTAAAAGAGGGCTAATTTATTCTAGCACACTGTGGTTCATTGCTTGATTTGCCATCCCAGCGCTATTCTAGACTAATTATCAGACATTACTATCAAAAGGTGGTTAAGCCTGTGCTTTAGATCTCCCAGTGTCTAGACTCTTCCACTGCTTTTCCCCAAAAATGAGAAGACAAAAAGTAACACTTGCACCCACATCACCTTCATCTCTCAAGTCTTGTTTTGCTGTTTCACACAGATTGGAAAAATGAAGGTGAAGAAGATAATTTCCACTTTTGTATTGGAAGCATCTGTTGCAGCAAATTATTACAACAGATGAAATAGATGAGGGTATAGGTGAAGGTGACCAGATTAATTTTTGAGGTTTTAGAAGGCTGATGCTTTGGCTAGAATCCAAACAAAATTAATTTCTTTCATAATGGATATTATGACTGAATGAATATATATTATTACTGAAATAGCAGAAGAATATCTGTGTTTCATTGACTATGCAAAGGCATTTAACTGTGTAGATCACAACAAACTGTGACTATGAGAAGAATGGGAATCCCAGAACACTTGATTATGCTTATGCTAAGCCTATACTTGGACCAGGGAGCAATCATCAGAATAGAGCAAGGAAAGACTGCACGGTTCAAAATTGGGAAGGGAGTATGCCAGGGATGTGTCCTATCGTCATACCTTTTAAATCTATATGCAAAATAGATTTTCTGAGAGTCTGGGATTTATGAGGAGAAATGTGGCATCAGGATTGGAGGAAGACTCACCAACGTTCTGCATTATGTATATGACTCAACCCTGCTTGCTCAAAGTGAGGAGGACCTCAGACATTTGCTGCAGATGGTCAAAGACTGTAGCCTTAAATATGGGTTGAAGCTCAACATAAGGAAAACAAAAATTCTCACAACTCGCTGCATTGGGAAAGTCTACTGTCAGAGACCTCGCCAGAGAACTGAAGAGCAACAATGTCTGTCTGGAGACTAAGGTGCACCTGATCCAGGCCATGGTCTTTGCAATTATATGCTACACATCAGAAAGCTAGATAATGATTAGGGGTGATAGAAGGAAAATTGATGCCTTTGAGTTGTTGTACCAAATAAGCATATTGAATATACCATGAACTGCCACAAAAAGAAACAGGTTCATCCTGGAGAGGCTTAAGCCAGGCTGTTCCTTAGAGACAAAGATTCTGAAGCTTAGTCCGATGTTGCAAGGAGGGACCAGTCCTTGGGGAGGTTCATTACATTTGGGAGGGTGGAGGAACAGTGCAGGAGGGGAAGATCCTCGATAAGATGGATTGACCCAGTGACTGGGGTAACAGGGGTGAGTGTCTCAGAGATGATAAGGTTGGCTCAGGATAGAGCAGGGTTCAGAGCTGTTGTACATAGGATCACTATGAGTCACAGCAACTCAACAGTGATTTTGGGTTAATCATCTGCCAGTAACCACAAACTGTATATCTCTGATGGACTGGAAATTGAATAGTTCAAGGATGTCAGATATCATGTTGTGTGCAGCTGACTTGGAACTCATTCATAGCTGACTATCCAGTGGGTTTTCAGAAGCAATAACATTCACAGGAAGAGAATGCTCATCCTTCTCCTGTGGAGCAGTTGACGGCTTTGAACCTCTGGGATTGCACTCAAGTTTTTACCATCAATCCACCAGAATCTCTAAAATACCATGTTAATTTTGTTTCTCCAGTTTCTAATTCCAAAGTGATTAAGTGGGCAAATTCTGTTTCAAAGATTCGTTGCCTCTTTCCACTCAAGAGTGGCTGTTTTCTACCTCAAAATCCCCTCCATCCCATTGACACCAAGCCATAACTGATTTATAGCCACCCACACATTGTATTTCTAAGACTGTAAATCTCATGGGAAGAGATTGAACATCTTTTTTGTGAGGACCTACTAGTCGATTAGAATTGCCACAGAAGTGTGGTCTTTGAGTTGGCAGCACAACTTCCATGTAGGAGCTATTCTATTGTATTTTAGTTTAGTAGTAGGTAATTTATGTAATAATTTTAGACCTTTTAGCTTTATATTATATACTAAAACAATTTTCAAAAACACTATTTTCATTTGTTTATATATGCAAGTATTTTTTCCATTTAACACTCAAAATAATCTATGTAATTGGGCCTCTTGGAAAATAGGCATTTCAGGATTTTGTAAACCCTTAAAAACATTAAGAGAACCTTTTCATAGAACTTTAAATATGTTAATCTTATCTAGACAAAGACTATCTGTAAAGCATTTGCAGTATTAGAATTATATAGAATAAATTTTTCTACAAATAAGATGACAAGAGGGGAAGGCACTCTATGAGGTGGATTGATTCAGTGACTGGGATAATCGGGATTGGAGTGTCAGAGACAGTGCGATTGGCACAGGGCAGAGCAGAGTTTCGGGCTGTTGTACACAGGGTCGCTTTGAGTCGCAAGCGACTCGACGGCACATAACAACAACAACAACATATTAAATTACTTTTTTTTCAAGGGTATAGACACCAGTTTCAGAAGAGACTGTTTTCTGGGATTAGAAAGGGCAGGATTTAAAAAAAACCAAAACCAAAACAAACAAACAAACAAAAAAACAATTTAAAAAGGGAAGGAAAAAAAAGAAAGGGAGGATTGTACCTTCAGATTAAGTACCCCCTTGAGTCTGTTTTCTTAATTTCAGTGGCTTTATTGAGCTAATGAAAAGTATCTTACTTTTGTGAGTTTTGCTAGTGGTTTGTCGATTTTATTGACCTATTCAAAGAACCAACTGCTAGTTTTGTTGATAGTTTCAATTGTTTTTCGATTTTCTATTTCATTTATCTCTGCTCTAATTTTTATAATTTCAGTTTTTTTAGAAACTGATGGGTTTTCTTGCTGTTCTTTTTCAATTTGTTGGAGATGTTGGGTTAGAGAGTCAATGGTCAATTTTTCCTGCCTTTTGATGTGTTTGCTAATTGCAATCTCCAGCTTCATTTGGAATGGAAAGAAACCACGAATAAGCAAAGCACTCCTTAAAAATAGAAAAAAAGGTAGGAGGCATCTCACTCCCTGATTTAAAATCCTACTACATTGCCATGGTAGTCAAGACAGCATGGTACTTGTACAATGACAGACACATAGATCAATGGAAGAGAATTGAGAACCTGGAAATCAGCCCATCTATTTATGGTCAACTGATTTTTGACAAGGAGATGAAATCAGTTAGGTGGGGAAATGGCAGCCTTTTTAACAAATGATGTTGGCAAAATTGGAAAACTATCTGCAGAAGAATTAAACAAGATCCCCACCTCACTCCATATACAAGAACCAACTCAAGGTGGATCATGGACCTA